CGTTTTTGTGGATTTGTAGAATGTGAACTCATATGTTAATGTTGCAGTAGAAAGATTTTTGCTTTAATAAGCTGAATAATAAATTTACGGCCAAAACTGTGATTTTACTTAGTGATTGGCAAATGGAATTTAAATGAATCAACTTATGTGTATATTTGTTGTGTTCTTGTCAGCCTATTTGTTCTTTTTCTTTTGTTATGTGTATGCATTATGTTTAGTGGTGGTGAGATGCTTTTACATGTTTAAGTTTTAGGCACAGCATATGTAAATTCTAGATTTCTATTACCTTGTTTACTTCTGCAAATGGAAAAATTTGCACCTTTTCAAGCTACCAATTTCGATACGTGCCCCGGTGCCTGGTGGTGTTGGTATTAAGGATATATGCATAAACTAAAGACACAATTTGGCGTACCAAAGAGGGTTTTGATTATCTTCCGAGATTACCACTGTCCCCTGAAATTTATATTTTTTCACAAATAATTACACCTCAGTAATCTTAAATATATAAAATGGGAACATATGTCAAAGGCTATTTTGAATATCTAATGGTAACCAAATTCTTTTGTAATTGAACAAAACTCATATTTAGTATTTGTAACTTGTAGTCAAATTTAGAAACATGCTTTATGATTTACTTGGTTGATGGCAAACTGCTAACTATTGTACTTGAATTTATCACATACGGCGTACTCTTGAATGTCTGTTTTTTCAAAGGAATTCCAAATCTGAACCCCGTCATGAACAACTACTATCAGACCATGAAATACTCTGATGTCCTTCCCATGGAGGCTGAAGATGACGAGATTCAAGAAATCTCGAACATGGAGGCGTCTTTGAGTGCGGTGGAGAATATCCTCGGCTACCGATTCAAGAACAGGAAGCTTCTCGAGGATGCCTTGACTCATCCTTCATACCCCGATTCTGAATCCTACCAGCGGCTCGAGTTTGTGGGTGATGCTGCGCTTGGACTGGCAATGGCGAACTACTTTTTCCTCAAGTACCCAAATGCGGACCAGGGTAAGATCTCGCTCGTACGTGCTGCAAATATTAGCACGGAGAGGCTCGGACGTGTTGCTGTAAACTGGAAGCTTCACGATTATGTCCGCCACAACGTTCCCAGCCTTCATGAAAAGGTTTATGGCTCTTCTCTTCTTCTTATTTTTTCTTTACACGTGCAAATTTTGATTCAATAACTGTTTACCCCATCCTTTATTGCTAACAACACATGTATGAAAATTTCCCATAAATTTTAGTGCAAGAGTCATACTTATTTACACAATATTTCAAAGAGATTTGATTTTTCATCTATGTATGAAATTAATTGTACTTGAAAGTATGCTCATTGCAATGTGATCGGCTTATAGTAGTTTATTTCAATTTGTGTAATTTTAGGAGCTCTTGTTTCCTATCTTTCTGAATTTGAATTTGTGTTGTTAGTTAACTTACTGGTGTCCTATTATCCATGTATAAGATGTTTAGTGAATCGCTCCCCTATCTGGGAACTGCAATTGTTTTCTTTTCTTTTTTAGTTGTTTTGGCTTATTAGGTTCGAATGAGGATTGATGCGCAATGTGAAATGTTTGATGCTTACTTGAACATTGTCTCTACTATCTACTTGGGGAGCATGGCTTTGATGGAGCTGAAAATGGTAAAGTTGGTTGAGTTATCTAACAAGCACATGACTTTGTGTACCTTGTCATGGGTTCAATGATAGCTAATAATTCATAGATGCATGAAATGTACCAATGTCTTGTTAAGGCCACCAGTCTCTAAACATAAAAGCGCATGCATCTAAGGGTTATTGCTTACCTTGCCCATGGAAACAATTCGTCATGTGCTTGTTAGGAAGCTAACCTAATTTTTTCACTTTGAGCTCTAGCAAAATCGTAGTCCTTTGGTTTATGAGAATTCCGTTGAAATTGCACACCGAAGAATGGAAAATTGAACTGAAGTTTATGATTAATCGAAAATCCAGCAGTCGGTTCGCTTCGGCTATCGATTAATCGCAACAAATAATTAATCTTCTCAATAAATTCTGAATTTTTAACCGAAACAAAAATTTGATTTTTTAGCCGAACCAAAAAATTTTGTGGGGTGTATTCAATTGAGATTTTTAAAATCTTTTCAAGTCATTAGAGTCCTAGTGTATTCAATTTAGATTTGTTAAGTCTTTTTAAAATATTGGGGTATTCAATTGAGATTTTAAAAAGTCTTGCAAATTGAACTTATTTGATACTAAGATTTGTTAAGACTTTTTAAGATCTGGTGGAATTTATAAAGAAAAAAACTTAAACGAAATCCCACTTCCAGACATAAGATTTCACATAATTCCCCCGAAATATGAAAATCTTAAAGTCTCAAATCTTAAAAAATCTCAAAATGTCACTTGAAATCCTAATTGAATACACCCTTTTAATTTTTTATTCTTTTGTTTAATCTTCGCAATAAATTCCAAATTCTCCTATAAGAAAGATCTCGGACCCGAACAACGACTTGCTTTATGCCAAAGCCTATCTTGAGTGCAAATTAATGCTGGTCATTCTAGGGATCAATGAAACTCGAAAATCATCATCATTGAAGCAAAATTAATGCTTTTATAACAATATGTATAAATAAACAAATATATATGTATGTGGATAAATCGGTTTTCGGTATAGTTTAACCGATCACTATTATCGAAACCGAATTGGAAACCGAGATTGTAAGAATATGTAAACCGAAAACTGAAACAAATATTCGGTTTCGATTGTGGTCCAAACCAATTTTTTAGTTTCGGTCGAGTCGGTTAACCGCATTTTGTTCACCTAGCTCATGGGAACACGTCGTCATGTGCTTGTTAGGAAGCTAACCCAATTTTTTCACTTTGAGCTGTACCAAAATCGTAGTCCTTTGTGTTTTTTTGGTGTTTTAGGTAAGAGAATTTGTGATGGCTGTAGAGGGAGAGGATGAGGCTGAGATTTATGGAGGCCTGGTGAAAGCTCCAAAAATTCTTGCAGACCTTGTGGAGTCACTAGCAGCTGCTGTATATATAGACTGCGACTTCGATTTGAAGGCCATGTGGATCGTTAGTCACTTGCTTTTCTTTGACTGCTTTATTGTTGTTGTACTTCTTGAATATGCTTATTTGTTGATATGATCTTTAAAATGATGATGATAATAAATAGATTAAATTTAATTCGAGTAGTTACTTGATATGATCTTTATTTTATAAAATGTTAATCCACGGAAAAACTGAAGTTTCTGAAATATAACTTTACTTTTAGTTATTAATCAGAAGAAATAATTGGTGGCCCATTTCTTGTGCAATATATATTGTTTTGTGGTGCTTACTTGTTCTAACTAACACGCTACAACATGTATCTTTAATCAGTTTCGCGGTGCTTAACTAGTTCAATTAACACCGTATATCATGCATCATTAATATGTTTTGCGGCGATTCTTTTTCAATTTTTATGAGATTACCCAATCAGTTCTATACAACTCTTGTAACTTGCTGTTGAATTCTCTTTTTATGTAGATATTTGGAAAACTTCTAGAGCCTCTGGTAATGCTTGATGTGCTAGAACAACAACCACAGCCTGTTACTATGTTGTTCGAGTTATGCCAAAAGGACAAAAGGCGAGTTGATATAAAGCATTGGCGAGAAGGAGAAAAAAACATAGCAGGTGTCTATGTTGATGGCGCTTTTGTGGCCTCGGCTTCTTCTGACAAGAAGGAGAATGCAAAGCTACTAGCAGCTAAGGTAGCTCTTAAGGGATTGCATTATGAGGACTCGTCTACCCCTCTCAATGACGGCAATGAATTTGGAGCAAAACAAAAGCTACACGAGCTATGTGGACAGAAGAAATGGGGTAAACCAAGTTACAAGTAAGCCTTTTTCCCTTTAATGAGATTTTCATAGTGCGATTATTTGTGTGTATACATGTTGCATAGCGCACCTATCTTATTGGTGTTTTTCTTAATTGAGTTTAGTTGGGGCACGTTAAAAATGTCTGTGTAGTTTTTGGTTTCTTGGTTTGCTTATTAGGTTCCATGACAAGAATGGATTTAGAGTACTAGTTGAAAGTGACCATTTTATTATTTGTGAAGATTAGTCCATTGCAAGTCAAAGATGTATAAAACAATACGGAAAATCCTTTGCCTCTAACCAGGAAAATTCAAAAAACTGCGTAGTGAACAGAAAAAAAAAAAAAACTTTCAATCTGTTTTTTATTTCTTTGGCCTTTCCATTTTTTGGAAATCTATTAGATTTTGTGACAAAAGTTGGATTTTGCAGAATCCAGAGCGAGGTTGGCCGAGCTCATGAGAAGAAGTATAAATGCTCTGTTCAAGTTGAAATAGCTGAGGGTATTCTCTTTGTGGAGGGGGTTGAAAAAAAACGTGTGAAGGAAGCGGAGAACTCTGCAGCTTACTTGATGCTTTGTGGTATGAAGGAGAACAATTACATTTGATTTTATTTGATGCTTTGTGGTTTTGATGGGGAAGAACAATTACATTTGATTTTTTGTCTTTCTTCTTGTAAAATTAACGTAGCTGAGGGTGTAGCGTTCTAGTGAAAAGGACCTTATGTTGCATTTTCTAACCCTTGCGAATAGATTACTGTTAATATGTGTGTAAGTCTGTAAGATGAGAATTGAAGTGATGGAAATGAATGTAACATCACCAAAAAGTGGCGGACGGTCGAAAATGGAACAGTTCAATGGAAAATTTGCTACATTGATATCCATATTCTTGCAGTATTTGTCGGCAAAATTTTCCGGTTTATCTTAGATAGTCGAAGGATCCCCAATCCATAAGTTCGCTTTAGAAGTTCAGAAGATGTTAAACCAGTGCCCCCAACTATGTATTTCACTCAAAACTTCAGTTCATTTTAACAGCGCCATCTTATGCGCTGGCTGTTTTTAAATACTTGAGAAAATTACTGTTTTTAAATACTTGAGAAAATTACGCTTTCAACGTACAAATTTTTATTTATTCAGTGTTTATATGATATGGACCACAGTAACTCAACTAGAAATAGCAACCATTTGTGTGATAACAAACTCACGAGAGACCATATTGCATATAAAACAAGAAAATGCAATATAACTCCAAAATCATCAAATCACCCAAAATAATATTTCTTTTAAATAAGAAAATAAGAAACTACTGTTCATATCATATTTTCCTGCTTTAGGCTGTTAAGCAACCTAAGGGAAGAACTATCGCCACCCATAATCCTAATCATTGATACTAATTAGGCAGGGCGCTTATATGCATATGTTTATAGAACATTGGTCTATGTAGTGTGGTTTGCTCTGTGAAAATAACTATTTTCACCCCGGTATGAAGAAATATTGAGTTTTTACACTGTCAATTAACAAGTTAAAATTTACACCTTAACAAATAATTATGCGATGAAACTATGCACATACATGCAAAAATAATAATTGAGCAGATGTGATCTCATTTAAACTTCATCTAAGGATATTGAATAAATAATTCGGTGTATACGAAATGCTTACTTGATGTGGAAGACGACATAATTAGTGATCTTGTTCTTGATTATCACACGAGGCTTGATCGATTGTGAAATCTAAATTAGTTTCTCCCTCCTGACCTTCTCTTAACGTAGCAGAAAAACTGATGGGAAAAACTGCGTACCCTAATAGGAGGAGAGAGGACTAATTTATATAGAGGTGACTTTATATTTGGTACGTCCATCAAGTATCCAGATTAATGGTCTAGATTTGTTTGACCATTAATTAAAGACCTAGCCCAATAGGATAATTAATTGTAAGCCCAATACTTTCGGGCCACATAATTCTTACATTCTCCACTTGGTCCGAAAGTCCTTAATATAATGGTATAACATTAGGTACGCATAAACAAATCTCATTATGCCAATACATCATAACAAACTATGACATGATAAACCATATAGTGAGAGTTATGGCAGTTGTACACTCTCGATTCGCATACTTCCTTCCATATACTACTACACTAATAGTTCAACACATCAAGTTCCATAATTATATATAAATATCATAATGTCCACTTAATTGTCATGAAGACATTCATTTCGTGTTCTAAACATAATGTATACAAAATCATAATGAACAAGAAATTCGATAATAGTCAGAAACATAACATCAATGAGCTCAAGAGTGTGCCATAACATCATCATAATCAATCATCAGTACAACCAAGACTCATTATATGTACATGTCCTTTAAATGTCTTTGGTTGTAAACCTTTAATTAACGGATCGACAATCATAATGTCCGTTATAATATGTTCAATGCACACTCTTTGTTTCTGAACTTCCTCCGTAACGACAAATTACTTTAATTCCATGTGTTTTGCACCATTGGAATATTTGTCATTATTGGAGGAGAAAACTGTTGCGGAATTATCACAATACATTTTCAGCGGCTTGGTAATGGTGTCGACAACCCCAAGTCCCGAAATAAAGTTCCGCAGCCATAACGCATGAATTGTAGCCTTATAGTAAGCTACAAATTCAACCTTCATAATAGATGCAACTATGACAGACTGTTTGACATTTTTCAATGATATTGCTCCTTCAGAGAGGAGAAACACATAGCCAAACGTTGACTTGCGAATGTCAATGCACCTAGCAAAATCTGAATCTGAATATCCAATCACCTCAAGGAGATCAGATTTCCTAAATGTGAGCATATGATCCTTCGTTCCCTTGAAGGATATCATCAATATATAGAACAAAAAATATAAACTTACTCCCACTGACCTTCTGGTAATACACTGATCAACAGTGTTTTAATGAAAACCAAAAGACGTAATGGTATTGTTAAATTTAAGATACCATTGTCTGGAAGTTTGTTTAAATCCATATATTGACACTTTAAGTTTACACACCATGTGACCCTTTCATTCTATGGAAAAACCTTCGTGTTGATCCATATAAACTTCCTCATCTAAGTCCCCATTAAGAAAGGTCATTTTCACATCCATTTGATGTAACTCTAAATCATATTGAGCTACTAAAGCCATAATGATCCTCAAAGAATATTTCTTAGAAACAGGTGAAAAAGTCTCCATATAATCAATGCCGTCTTTCTGAAAATAACCCTTGGCAACAAGTCTAGCTTTATGTCGTTCGATATTGCCACTCGAGTCGCGTTTGATCTTAAAGACCCACTTACACCCAACTCGTTTTGAACTTTCTGGCAGCTCTACTAGATCCCAAACATTGTTTTTTAGCCATAGAGTTTAACTCTTCTTTCACAACATCAATCCATTTATGAGACTCGTCACTGTTAATGACTTGTGAAAATGAAACAAGATCTTCATCAATGCGAGTATCATAATCCAACTCTTGCAAATAAACCACATAGTCATCCGAAATAGCAGATCTTCTCACCCTTGTAGGTTTGCTTAATGCTATTCCACGTGGTTCATTTATATTAGTTGGTGGCAAGTTAGTCTCTTCATGGGGTGCTACTTCATCCAAATTTTGTCCATCATTATTTTGTGGTTGTGGAACAATATTTGGTACAACTGTGGATATTGGAACATTAATGGGTAATGGAACATTAACCCTTATTTCATTAATTTCCATAGTCTCTTTAGCACTCCCACTAACTTCACCATTTTCAATAAATCTAGCATTGCTCGTTTCAACGATTCTAGAACTATGATTAGGACAGTAAAACATATACCCTTTGGACTTCTCTGGGTAACCAATAAAGTAACCACTCATAGTTCGAGAATCCATTTTCTTTTCATGTGGGTTGTATACTCGTGCTTCTGCTGGACAACCCCAAACATGCAGGTGTCTCAAACTAGGTTTTCTTCCAGTCCATAACTCAAAAGGAGTTTTAGGAACTGCCTTACTAGGAATCCTATTTAGCAGATACACGGCAGTCTTAAGTGCATACATCCACAACATTTGGGTAATGATGTATTACTTATCATACTCCTAACCATATCAATTAATGTTCTATTTCGTCTTTCCGCTACACCATTTTGTTGAGGTGTGCCTGGCATAGTATACTGTGCACATATGCCATGTCTTTCAAGGAACTTAGCAAATGGACCGGGATTTTGTCCCGATTCATCATACCTTCCATAGTATTCACCACCTCTATCAGACCTTACTATTTTCACTTTTCTGTCTAACTGCCTTTCAACTTCATTAATGAAAACCTCAAGTGCATTTGCAGCTTGAGATTTTTCCTTGAGCAGATAGACATAACCATAACGTGAAAAATCGTCTATAAAGGTAATGAAATACTTTTCTCCATTAAAAGATGGAGCATCAAAAGGTCCACATATATCAGTGTGTATAATTTCAAGAAGCTGACTACTTCTTGTGGCTCCTTTCTTGTTATGTTTGGTTTGCTTTCCCTTAATGCAATCCACACACAAACCCAAGATCGGTAAAATCTAGATCCAAAAGAATCTTATCTTTCACCAACCTTTGCATTCTTTCTTTGGATACATGACCCAAACGTTTATGCCACAAGAAAGCAGAGTTCTCATTTGCTACACCACGTTTAATTCCAATGTTTTGATGAACACACATTAAAGATGCAGAAAATCAACATCAAGTTTCAGTTTATATAAACCATCCATAAGAATTCCAGAACCAATAACGGAATCATGTTTATCAAACAAACTGAAACATCCATGTCCAAACTTAAAGGAAAACCCAAGAACATCAAGTCTAGAAATAGACATTAAGTTTCTAGAAAATGAAGGTACATAGAGAGTTTGTAAAAGATCCAGGTGGTGCCCGGAATCTAAAACAATACGATAAGTCCCTATTCCTTCAATTGGGGCCTTCATACGGTTCCCCATAAACAAGAAGTTCTCATTTGGGTTTATGCTCTGGATTGTAAGAAATCCCTGCATCTCATTAGGAACATGAGTTGTAGCACCAGAATCCAACCACCAAGTATTTGAAGGAACTTCAGACAAGTTTGATTCGAAACATACAAAGATATTAGAAATACCTTTCTTTTCAAACCAAAACTTGCGTTTTAGGCAATCTTTCTGTATGTGACCTTCTTTCCTACAGAAATAACATTTATTTGCCCGATTTTCCTTCTTTTCATCATTAGTGACCTGTGAAACTTTAGCAGGTCATTTCTTCTTAAACTTGTTGGATTTCGGTTTGAGAACATCATTAGCTCCTCGACCCATAAGGTTGACCGTATGAACTCCTTGTGCCTTAAGCCTCGTCTCCTCCTGAACAAGCTTACTGGCCAATTCATTAACATCCCACTTATCCTTAATAGTGTTATAGTTAATTTGAAAAGGCCCATATTCAGGAGGCAACGAGTTAAGCATAAATTGCACCAGAAATGAGTCATCCACAGTCATGCCCAGGGACTTAAGCCTTGCTGCGAATTAGTCATGTCAAGAACATGTTGCTGCATACTACGCGACCCATCATACTTTTTGGTCGTGAGTTCAGCCATAAGTG